AAAAAAAATACTGTCTTGTCCTATTTCAATTTTCATTTATTGCTGCACACATCATCATCATATATAAACAAAGAAAAATACAGGCAAATACTAAAAAACAAATGTCTTCATCGTGTCATTTTTTTTCTCATATTTATGTATATAATATTTAAATGAGAGAGAGATAGAGAAACAAAAGAAAATACAAAGGCACCGATAAGCAAGTAATAGCGAACGCACACAGAAGTTGTACAAAGAAGAGAGAAAAAGTAAAACAAAAAACACACACACACAAAGTTATATTCGTCATTGTTGCCAATAAGATGGTGGAATAGATTGATGCATCTGTTCCAAGTAATTTGAATTATCTATTGAAGATGATTCAGTTGACATAATACCTGTACCTGTTGGTGGCATTTGTCCATTGATATTCATATTACCATTAATATCATCAGATTTTTCTTCTTCACGTCGTCGTAAACATGCAGCTTTAGGATTTAAATTTCGTTCTTAAAATAACAAAAAAAACGATAGTTTTCACAAAATTTATTTGTCTATCTCGATTATACCTCGAACTTGTTGTTCAAGTGTTGTTATAAGATTAACTGCTTGTTGAAGTATACCTAATTTTGTAACAGGTTTATCATTACGCATATGAATTGAACACATACGACCAAGTTCTTTAAATGCATCATTAATATCTCGTACACGTAATCTAAATGAAAATTTAAAATATAGACAAAAAAATTGGTTTGATTTTGTTTTCTTCTAACCGTTCACGAGCATTATTTGCTGCTCGGCGATCTTTTTCTCGTCGTTCACGTTCTTCAGGAGTTTCATCTGGATCAATACTACCTTCAGAACCAGGTCCACCTCGCATACATGATAAATTCATTTGACTATTTGGACTGAGTGTCAATGAACTTTAAAAGAAAAAAAAGAAATATTTTATTTTTCTAGTTTTTAAATTTAAATTTTTTTCTTTTTACTTTCGTAATTTTGATGATGATGATGAGGATGGACCAATATGTACATTATTTGTTGTACCACCAATAGCAATTGTTAATGGTGATGCATTTTCTTGTGATAAGTCAGTTAAATTTTGTTGTCGAAGATTGAATTCATTTAATTTATCTGTTGTTAATTGAGATGATCCAGTTGCTGTTGTTATTGCTGTTGATGGTAGTGGTAGCGGTAGTGGTGTTGGTGGTGGTGGCGGTTTATTTTCAATATCTAACTTAACTTTATCAATACATTCAACGTTTAAATCAGGATTTACAGCAGTATTTGCATCAGTCGATGAAGTTGATGATGATGTCGATGGTGGATTAGGATCTAAATTAATACATATTTAAATAGAAATAGATACTTGTTCTAAATAAATATATATATATAATTTACATGTTAAATATGGATCATGATGTCGATTTCTTGATGATGTATCAGATGTCGATGCTGGATGTAAACTTGGTGGATGAGCTAAAAATGCCGAATAAGGTCCAGTGGAATGTGGATGATGATAGCCAGCATAATAATGATGGTAATCTGGTGGTGGTTGACGAAATGAATCATCAACATCTAATCGTGGTGGCTAAAAATCAAAATTTGAATGAATTCTTAGTTCGAATAGTAACTAATCAAAAGTAAAGCCCCATCACCCTGGTGATTTTGTTTTTGTATATATAAATAAACAAACCTCATTCAAATTGAGTAAATAATAAGGTTCATCATTTAGATCGATTAGACTTGTCTGAATTTAGGAGTTAAAAATAAGATTAGTATTATGCAAGTTTTGTTATTCTACGATTTTATAAAACTTACAAGAGGATGTAATTGATTGTGATAAGATTGAGATGCTGAAGGTACCCATGATTGACTAGATCCTAGAAGAATCAAAATAAAAAAAATAGATATTCGTTCTATGCTTTTTCTTTGAAATATACCATTTAATGGTGGAGGAGAGAGAGGAGTCGATGGTGTCGAAGGATAAGGATGATCGCTTGGGTAGATCTGAAATGGAAATTGAAATCTTTCTGTGATCTAAATTTTAATATCATACAGATTGTAATGCTTTGCCAAGTGTTTCTCCGGTTTGTACTGTTTGTTCATTGCCATTGTTTGAATATGTTCCTCCTTGTTGCGATCGAAAACTTGCCATTGATGGTAAACATGAACCATTTGAATCTGTAAAAGATCCATGATTATTAGCAAGATCATTTGGTAGATAAGCTGATGTCGGTGGGGGTGGTAACCATGTTGTACCATTTTGTCCGTCTATGAAATGAAATAAATATTTTTTTTCATAAAAAAAGAAAAGATTTTCTCTTTCATAACAATATCCGTACCAACATAATATGTTGAATCATTTCCATAGACTGATTTTCCTGTTGGATATCGTCCAGTATTCTCTGGATTATAATCATCCGATGTATAGACCTAATAATAAAAATAAAAGTAATGATTGTATAACGAACGTCTTTAGCCTATTAATATCTAAGTTGTTTTGATTGACCTCATGTGCAAACGCTTTATTTCTTCTCCTTATAGGATAAATCACACAAGTGCTTTCTTCATTAGACATTTCCCATAGAAAATCAATTCTAATTATTTTTCCCTCGCGATGTTCGATTATTATTATTATTATTATTATTATTATTATTATTATTTTCCTTCCTTTTCTTCTTTTCCAGTCGAAGTATAGTATATACACATTTGCCAGTAATAAACATATATAACAGAGCTAAATTTCATGAAAAAAAGATCAATGCAATATACTAAAATCAACAGTTGCATCCGAAATAAGACTACTGTCGACGACGTATCATTCAAGAAAAATAACTTGATCACCCACTGATTTTTATGTTGGCTAATCAAGAAAATGTAAGAGAAAAAGGTTCGTTTGTTTGTGCTCACTCGGCACGAGATCAAAGGACGTACGAGCGCAATTCATGCTGACATTCACATCGTTCGATTGAGCAGGAGAATGTATTGATTAGCATTATCTTTCTTTTTTTTTCTTCTTCTTTTACTACTCCTTCTTTATTCGATCAATTGCAATTAAAGACAAATAACGAAAAAAGAAAACGTTTTTTTTTGTCTTATTTGATCTAAAGACAAGGTGACAATTACGATTCGTATTCTCTTAATCCGATACAAATTGTAAAAAAATACAAGAAGAAGGTCTTGTTCTTCTTCTTCGTATGACAAAATAAAACAAAAAAAAAGAACTAAAATATCATATATATTTTTCATACCTGATATGATGGTCGGGAATAGTAGAACATTTATGTATTATTTTGAAAGAAAATAAGTGATTATTCCATCACAGTTAGTCAAAAAAAGAAAGAAAGAAGAAATGAAATTGACTTATAATTGTTGTGTCAAATAAACTCGTAGTATATACGTGTAGCACTGCTTGATAGCACAGGAAAGAGGGAAAAAGTGATATGCATCGAAAGAGAGAGAAAAAAAGGAAGAGAAGGAGAGTCGATCGATGCGGGAGACCTTTCACTGGAACAGCGAGATATCCTTATCTTGCGATGTGTTAACTAGAGGCGGGCATACGAACAGGAAAGAGAGAAACAAGACACATAAAAAAAATCATCATCATCTTTCCCTCTCTCTCTCTCTCCTTTTTCTTTCTCTTTTTTTTGTTTGCTGCAATCTTCTAGCGGAAGACAGAGAAGGTGAAATAAATGTAAAGACAAAGGCTCGTATCTCGAGCAGGCATCATGCGCCCGGGCGAATGAGTTACCCCCCTGTCTGAAGATAAACAACTGTATACAAAGCAATATATTTAGAAGAACGAAGATCTTTGCTTGTAGTGATAGTTCTTTGTCAAGATCACAATAAACGAAGAAAAAAAAAAGAAAACCTATTCCTCAAGCTACATTTGTCATTAGAGTTCTTTCTTTTATTATATATATGTTTATGTCGTCGAACAATTATTACACAAGCTTCGTTCTTTTGTATATATACGCAAAGTCGATTAGCGCTTCTTTTCTTTCTTTTTTTTTACTCATTTATCATTGTCGGAAACAAGCAGTAGTAACAATCGAATATCTATTATCATATCTCACGACATCTTCAAGCATAAGAGAGAGAGAGAGACACAACATGACTACGAACGTTTATTACATTGTTTGTCCCTTTTACATTTACCGCTAAGCGTATATGATGTTTACAAAGAGGAAAGCTCGTAGCGCAGCTGGAAAGCTCGTTCGTGTGCCATCGAATGTAGATAAACACGACTATTAATTTTATCACACACACGACCCCGGTCAAACAATACACATACAATCGAGCCTATTGTATATAGTAGATAGACGAAGCGAACTTCTCTCTTATTCTCTTGAAATTCATTCGTTCACAATATATTCATGTCACCCAACCAGCTGGTGCACATACACGTTCTTGAATAGAAAATACGAAGAATATGAAATAAAGGAGGAGAAGAAGAAGAAAAGGAAAAAGAAATACCATATTACTAATCAACCGTGAGTTCTTATATCGATTTAAAAAAATAAATGAAATATGAAGACAATTCATTGTCATTGTCTCTCTTCATTCATCTTAATTTATCATCGAGTGAATTAGTAAAGTTGTTCTCAATCTATCTCTTCTGACAGAAGAAAGATGTCGTCATGTCAGAAACATAGACAGCAAATAATTATATCAATTACTCACACGTCAACATCTGATGTGACAAGAAAAAAAAAATAAAGATATATGATTAAAAGAAATCCCGTTTTGTTTTAATCAAATATATTTCTTCCCTCTCTTTCAACTATGCATAAATTTGTTTGATTTTAACCAGATCATTTTCATGCGTAAGGCAAGTAATAAATATCTAATTCGTCACTAATTTAATTGAACGTTTAACAATTTAAAAGAGTGGCTAAGCGTTGACGCTCATTCAATTATATATATAAAGTCATAACTTACGTTTGTTGATCGACGTACTTTCTCATCTAGTTTTTCTATAAAAGAAAAATGAACTATACAAACAAATGATGAATTAATTATAAACCTGAATATGATATATCATTAGTTGTAGATCGTGAAGTCTAAAATATGAATATTATATTTCTTCAATATTTTTTTCTTTGAATATCATACGAGATTTGATGAAATATTATTCAATGGTTCAGTTGTTATAAATGGATGAAGAATATCTCGATTACTATGAGTTCCATCATAAATCTATACAAATAATTATCAAAAAAAAAATTCTTTCATATCGAAATAATACAAACCCCATCATTATATGTTGTTGATGATGATGGACAAGTATTCCAATAATCTATCAATAGAATTATTTTAATATATATAATGAAAAACATAAAAAAAACTACCTTTATCTGTATTACTATATATTGTTTCAGAGGGTATACTAGAATAGGGAATAGTTGAACGTAACATCTAGATTAAAACGAGAATTATAAAACGATATAGATAGGAAATAAAATATATACAGGCATTGGAGGATGTCGAGAAGATGATTCAATAATACTATTTGGAAAACGAGTTCGACTTTTTACCTAAAATATGAATGAAAGTAAAATGAAAGAGATACCTTTTTGTATTGGAAAACTTACCGCATTGAGATCGAGTAGATCGCTAAGTTCTTGATTATTATGTAGATTCATTATTTTTCGACTCAAAATCTAAAGAATGAAATTTATTGATATTCTCTCTCTCTATCTAGCTCTTCCTGATCTAAGCTTGCAACAAATAACAAACAAGTCAGCAAATAGAGACAATACCATATATATACTCGTTAGTGGAAAATGACGAACTAAAGAAAAGAAAAGAGAAGAAATAGATGGCGCTCTTGATTTTTATATTATAAACTTATTAAATCTAAGATATTTTTAAGATTAAAAAGCAATTTTATATGAAATGATTTTTTTTATCTAATTTTGTTTGATTTTTTGGGAATAGTTACATTATTGGAAAAACGTGGGAAACAATGTGTTACGTCATTGAACGAATGAATCTTCTAAGAAGAGATACACGATGATGATTTAATTGAATAATGAATAGTCATTGTCTCTCTTTTGTTTTTTTTCTTCTAAGTTAGAACATAAATTATGGCTGTAAGTACAGCTGAATGGGAGAAACATACATGTGATGCATGTAAAGATGTTGATGCTATCAAAGTAAATATTTTTTATTTTTCAAAATAAATTTATTGCATTAAAAATTTAGAATTATGAGAAATTTGAATTAATTGGAACTGGTGGTTTTGCAAAAGTCTATCGAGGTATTCGACTATGTGATCATTTTGATGTTGCTATTAAAGTTGTATGTATTATCTTGATTTAATTTAATACAAAAAGAGATTTTCTTTCAGATGAATATACAAGAATTACAATTAAAAAATGCTCTATCACGTGTTAGTGAAGAAGTTCGAATACACTGGCAGTTACGTAATCCAGCTATCGTCGAAGTTAGTAAAAGACAAACATTCATACTTATTCTAGTCTCTTTTCTTTAGTTACTTGAAGTATTTGAAGATAAAATAAATATTTATCTTGTACTTGAATTATGTGCAACAGATATGCAAAAATATTTAAATACTCGTAAACAATTCACTGAAGATGAAAGTAAAATTAATTTTTAAAATTATCTTGATTGATAAATAATTTTCTTTTATTGATTTTATAGCACGACATTATATAAAACAAATAGTAGCTGGTATTGAATATTTACATTCACATCAGATTCTTCATCGTGATTTAAAATTACATAATCTTTTATTAACAAAAGATAATAATGTCGTATGTTTTCCTAATCAATTATTAACTAATATATATTCATATGTTTATTTATTAAGAAAATAGCCGATTTTGGTTTAGCAAAACAATTAATTACACATGGACAAACGAATTCTACTATGGTCGGTACACCAAATTTTCTCGCACCTGAAATAGCAACACGTCAAACACATAGTTTCGAAGCTGATATATGGTCACTCGGTGCACTTATATATCAATGTTTAGTTGGAAAACCACCATTTGATGATCAAGATGTTCTTTCAACATTAAGACGAGTTGCAAATGTTCGATATGTTTTACCTGAAGGTTTAAGTATGGAAACAAAAGATTTAATAAATCGAATCTTACAAAAAGATGTAAAAAAACGTTTGACATTAATACAAATTCGTCATCATCCATTTCTATTAAAACGTCAAATGAATGATCGAATAAATTCATCAAGAAATAGTTCTACTGTATGTAAAAAAAAAACATCCTAAAAACATTTCTCAAATTTTGTTATGAATTAGTAGTCATTAAGAAGTGGTGATAGCGGATATTTTGATACTTCACCATTATCATCAAGTCGACAACAAACGAATGAATCAACAATGTCAAGAGGACCAACAACATTGAATTCTTTGCCACCATTAATGATAAATAAAAGTCAGATTAGAAATGCTTCATCAACATCGGTATTGAGTTGTAATAATTTAAGTCATACAAATAGTATTAGTCAACATAAATTTATTAATGAAAAGTTAATTCCATTAAATACACAACGTCTCGATCGTCGACATGTTATAACAAAAAGTGATATTGTAAGTTAGAATATAAATTTTGATTTTATAAAACTAAAATGAATATATTTAGATGGATATATTAGATGATGGTGAAGTTGTTATTCAACATCTTGTTGAAGTTAAAAGTGGTTCGAAACGAATAGTCGATGTATTTCGAGTATCATCCGATGGACAAAAGGTTGAAATTGTTTCTTTTTGAATTTTTATTATTTACTGTATTTTTAAAGATTATATATTATCGACCTGATCGAAGACAGTATAATTCATATATTGAAAGTGAAGGTCCACTTTCACTACCAGT